TGTCGTTGTCGTGGTCGTTGTCGTGGTCGTGGTCGTCGTCGTCGTCGTCGTCGTCGTCGTTGTTATTGTTTGAGCTTGGAACTTGGTGCTAGAGTGAAGCTTTGGTCTTCTTGTGTGGTGAGAGGGTTAAGAATGGGTATCTGGACTCCTGGTATATTTCCATAAAGAACCTGGAATCGTAGAATCCTGCGAGTATGTCTGGCCTACTCCCCGGTCATGACAGAAATATCGGCACCTGTCACATAACTGACACAAGTTACTTGGTGATTCATACAGGGCTGGCTATTCCTCCATGGAGACATTTGCTGGTTGTCAGCAGTTCAATGCTTGATGACTCAAGCCTCTTGTACCGGCAAAAATACCGTCTTGATCAATAATAGAAATGCAACTAAAACCCAGAACTATTTGATAATGTAAAGAACTCAAAGCAAATGAAAAGAACCCAAAGTTAAAGAAAAGAACCCAACCAGCCGCACACGGAGCACGCAAGAGGCAACAGCATAAATGAATAAGTAAACTTCCTCAAAAAACGTATCAGTGACATCCATGAATTGGGACCGGAACTTGGGCCACCGACACAGCGTTGTTTTCTTCTCCTCGACCATTTTCTTTGTTGCTGACAATGCTAGTGCTGAGCTAGGACACTGTACAGTAACAAGGCTGTCACCTCCATACGAACATCTACAGTCAACTTCACTAATAACGACTGTGGATTTAACGACAATTCGCGAATAAAGACAGAATTGCCATGTCCAGAGTAAAGTCCCATCCAACAGCTACTGTAGCACGTAATAAGGACACTTCGGATATAAGGACACTTCGTATATAAGGACATTTCGGATTTATTATTTATTTCACCGTCCAATGGCAGAAGCCAATGCAAAGGAGGGGGCGTTAGCCAGCCATGGCAAGAGAAGAAAAAAATGAAGGAAAGAAGATGATAATCGGAAGAAAATAATGCATCAGCGGGGTGAAATGTATCACTATGTTGACCATGGTGGAGAGCGGCGAGATAAGATAGCAAAAGAGGCGAGCGAGCCTACAACGTGGCATGACATTTAACATGGTCTATGAACTGTCTAATATTGGATATTGTCTTCATTTCCATGGGCAGCTTGAGCCAATACGAGTATGCAGAGAAGAAAGGAGATTTGGTAAATATAGTTCACAAAGCTCTGGGAAGTTCTATGCCATTGCGAGTGTCCCGTGCGAAAGTAAACCAATTATACTTGGTGAGATGTTCAGGGACAATGTTCAGTTTAATACGATGGACCAGAACGCATGACTGTCTCTGCGACAGGATAGAGATGGGGCTGGTGGAGGACAAACTATATAGATCAGTAGAGGGGAAAAGAGAGGGTTTACGAAAAATAATTTTCAACACACGTTTATGATATATTTCTAGTGTCTGTACAGCAGATTTACTAAGCAGGGAATGCCAAGCAGTGGCGCCGTACAGAAAGATAGGAAGGAGGTAGCATTTAAAAAAGAGACGAATACATTCGGGGGACAAGTGGGAGCAGTGAGACATCAGGCAACCTACAGATTTGCTAACTTTGTTGCATACAAAATCTACGTGAGAATTCCAGGACAATTGCGAGTCAAATACAACACCCAAATGCCTGTGCGTATCTACAATATTAATGTTAATAGCCGAATCAAGTCCGGGAAGGGTAAATGTGGGAGGGTGGTCTAGTTGAGGGAGAAAGACTATTTCTGTTTTCAAGATATTGGGTTTCAGAAGCTATGACAACATCCATTTATGAACAACATTGATTCCATTCTGAAGCTTCGTACACAGGTTTGCAATGTCGGCGTCAAACTGAATGAGGGCTGTGTCATCAGCAAATAGTGACAAACCATCTATACAGTCAGGTAGATCGTTTATATACAACAAGAATAGTAGAGGCCCCAGTATAGATCCCTGGGGGACTCCCGACTTCACAGGCAGTGGGTCTGAGAGTACCCCTTCGACTGACACTGATTGCGTTCTATCTGTTAGGTAGTCCGTAATCCACGCCAGAGACGCTCCGGAAACATTGTACATCGCAGATAATTTGGAAACATTGTACATCGCAGATAATTTAGCTAGGAGTCCACGGAACCATACCGTGTCAAACGCCTTTGCTAGGTCGAAAACACACATACCAACATGTTGGTGGCCATGACGAAGAGCCACAATGTCCTGCACAAGGCGTGTCAGCTGCATGGTGGTTGAGTCTCCTCGTCGAAAACCAGATTGGACTGGGGCAAGGGCCGGCGACACATGAGCATAAAGCTTATCAAAGAATAATCGCTCACATAGTTTCGATACACAGGACAACAAGGAGATGTTCAACCTCTCATGCTGCGATTTGGTAGGTGATTATTATCCAACGCCCAATACGAAGTCGAATGGAGGATAAAAGATCGCGCCCGGGCATACTCCAACATCACGAAGCGGTGTTCCCTCTGTACCAGAGAAAAGTATCACATCCTGAACACGCTAGGGTCACCGTCCAGCCTCAACAAGCGCTCCGAAATGGTGTCCAAGTGCCGACACGAGAACAAGTATCTCCTAAAAAACCACGGTGTCACCTAAACATGTCTCCACAGCCTCCTGCCCACACCATTCACGTTCACACACCTTGCTCATAACACCCTGCCCACACCAGACATATCCATTTACATTGCGCTATTATCACACTGCTAGCTCTACAGCCTCCTGCCTACAACATCCACACGCATTGTTCACCACCTCCTGCCCACACCAGCCACACACTTCGCGCTCACACTGCACTGCTAGCCCCTGCCTTCAACAACCACACACTCTGCACACAGCCCCCTGCCTAAAACATCACCGCTACTGCGCTAGCCCCCACAGTCTCACACAGCTTTTTATACCACCCTCTCCTGGCATATATACCGGCATGGTCGGCACCCGATCTTCATGTTGCCTGATGATTGCGTAAGCATGAAACTTAAAGTAGCAGCAAACAAGCCTTGATTGTCCTTGTTGTTCTGTTGTGTAGGTGATTATTATAATTCGATGTAGTTGGCTGCTCAAAGCTTAGGGCTATCGTTTTTTTTGCCGACTGGCTAACATTGAAATGCCACACGACTGTGGTGTGAGACACACATAAACACGTGGAGCCTAATGCCGCCTTGCACACTGCAACCCTGCACGAAGGCACCAATAATTGCGCAGTACCCAGAAAATCCGTGAATTCCCCTTCTCACCAGTTCAAGGTGACTAAACTACTGAATACGGTACTCCACATGCAGCACTGCAGTTAAAGAAACAGCAGCAGCAGTTCGGTGTGTGCAAATGCCTAAACCCAGAACTATAGTGCATATGGCCGCTAAAAATATTAGATTGTTGGAATCGGTTCTCCGCTGAAGCACGAAAATCAACGCTAGCACTTGTATCACACTTGTCACCATTGTGGTCCAGCGGTATTACCAGATTCAAGGACACCACCAACACTCAGCGACGCCCGATTAAAGCGACAGAAACCTCGCCACTCACTATCAAAATTCTCACATTCCGCGTCTACAGTTAATAATGTGGCACCCCCTGTAAATGTGATGCTCTTCTTCGAGCAGGATTGTGATGGTAGCATTTGCCAATGGATTTAAAGAGATCAGTCCATGAGTTACATTCCGTTCGTTAGATGTCAGTTTGATGTATCGTGCAACTTTCGTCCAATTCCTGCACAACCTTCCAGATCCAGATAGCGGTGGCGGACCCAATGGCGGAGCCAATGGCGGCAGAACGACCTCAACGGGAAGAGGGAGACCAGGCCAATTCAGAATATGCAACATTAACGAGGGAGGAGGTGAAGAAATTTTTAGAGGCATTCGTCAAGCTATGCGGGCGATCACGCAACGCGATTATCAATGGAGAAGACCCTGAGATCACAATAGGAGATAAGCAGCTATCGTGTGATGAGCGTGGTCAACCAATCACAGTTTGGAATAGTCCATACTTCCCTCGTGGCAAGAACGTCCATTTGTCTCATATTACCTGTGGGCCTACTGGGGAGCAAAGAATGGATTTAAAGGTGACTGGAGACGAGGCAATGTGTTACATCGGCTTTCACATCCTCTGGAGAAACGATTATGGAGATGAAGTATTCAATAGTGACCAGAATTGCTTGCCGGAAACTGGTATTTGCATCTTCTACGAGTTTAACTCGCATAGCGTAATACCATCAGATATTTGCAGGTCTGCCTTCTTACTTATTGGATTGAGGGAGGAAATTGTGTCTGGTGTCAAATGTGTGGTTGTGCACAGCATCTGTTGCCATACGAAACTGGGAAACGGTTTCTCATAGTATCAGACAAAGTTCAAATGTTAGACAAGTAATTAATCGAGCTTTTTAGATTGGCTGGTTATGACAAGTCGGATGCAAAACATGAACGTGTTCCGGTTTCTCGCAATGTGATCGGATTTTTTCTTGGTCTTCTGTTCGTCATGTGTTATTGTTGTTGTGATGTTTGTGTCAGTTCAATTGTTCGTCCAATCATACTTCTTGCGCTTCATCTCTTGTCATCTTTTGGCTCATTGTTTCTCCCAAGCTCCATTTCGTTGTACCGCTCCTGTGTCTCTTTAAAATGTTGCCCTTCAGTGTGGTTGTTACCATGGTTACCGTCGTCTTGCCATAAAATTCCTGCAGTCGCAGTTCAAGCTTACGCATGCTTCGCTAGGCGCAATCCCACGTGCCACACGCATGCCCCATGCATCAGGTGAGCTTGTCAGTGTTATAATGTCACCTGTTTCTAACCGGCGCTTAGGCTATGATAAGTTTGTTAGTTTGCGTGTGCTTAATGCTTATTTCCCCACTCAAGTACGTTTATTCCTGAAGCTGAGACTCGCGGAAACTTCGAACCAGACACTGTCTATTGTGTACGAACTAGGGCTACAAAGTACATGTAGCTAACGGGTATTATGATTGTGTGATGAGATCATGGTCCTGGCTCATGGATAGCTACAGTGGAGTCTTCGCATCCTTGCATAGATAAATGA